ATATTATTACTGTAAGTGTTGAGGTCAGACAGGTGTTGTGTTCAGGTGTGTTGAGGTCAGTCAGGTGTTGTGTTCAGGTGTGTCTCACCTGCACATGATCTCGTGTGTGAGCAGAACTCTGCACATCTCTGGATTCTTGTCCTGACCTTCATAGATGATCGCCTGAAACACACAGGAAGTAGATGCCAAAGAAGCAGCTGTGAAACAGGAAGCAGATGTAAAACAGGAAGAAGACATCAAACAGGAAGCAGGGGTGAGTTCAAAAAGTCCAACTAGTCTCCTCTCCTAACCACTATTCCTTGACCCCGATGGAAAACATCACAAGGGTCAAGGTAAGATGTGAAGGAGAAGGCGTAAAGGGGTAAGGAAAGGAAAGCAACGATGATCAGACTCCACTGTGTAACTTTATATAAGACAAAATTGTATAAAAATGAAGGAAAACTTAAATCACCAGATCGTGATCATCAACCCAGTGAGGCTGGATTCAAACCTGAACATCCCAGTAACAAAGTGAAACCACAGGCTGATCCAACGTGTGTGAATATCATCAAGTCATCATGTGACTCAGTGGGTGTGGCCCCCTCGTGCCCGGACGTTCTCCTGACAACAACATGATGCTCCTGATGAGTTGGAGGATGGAGTCCTGGGGGATCTCCTCCCAGACCTGGATCATCACTGAGCTCCTGGACAGTTTGGTTGATGGACTTGGTGGCGTCGGATACATAACGTCCCATAGGGCATTGTCCTGCACCAGGAGGAACCCAGGGTCCACCGCACCAGCGTAAGGTCTGACGGTCGCTCTGAGGATTTCATCCCAGTACCGAGCAGCAGTCAGGGAACCATTGGCTATGACATGGAGGTCTGTTGACCCTTCAAGGATCTGCCTCCTCAGACCATCACTGAGCCTCCACCAAACCGGTTGTGCTGGATGATGTTACAGCAGCATAACGTTCACCACGGTGTCTCTTTCATGTCTGTCACATGTGCTCAGTGTGAACCTGTTGAACCTGTATAATACTGCTGCCTTGACAGACCCAACACCACAGTCCGGATCATGTTCTTCCAATTCTCCAGCACCTTCAATACCATCTGGCCCAAACTGGTGAAGGAGAAACACAAGGACATGCAGGTGGACACTCCCCTGGTCACATGGATAAATGACTACCTGACGAGCAGACCACAGTTCGTGAGACTGTGTCTGAGCCCCCCAGGGAACAGTGTGGAGAGTGGACAGGAGCATGAGTACAGGGACCTGGTTGACCACTTTGTGACGTGGTGAAGGGAGAATCAACTGCAGTCAAACGTGGAGAAGACCAAAGAGATTGTGGTGGATTTCAGGAGGATTAGGCTGCAACCTTCTCCAGTCTGCATCAGTGGGACTGATGTGGAGATTGTTTGTACAGGTACCTGGGCATGAAACTGGATAACAAGCTGAAGTCGTCCAGCAACACCGAGGCTGCTTACAAGAAGGGCATGAGCCAGCTCTACTTCCTGAGGAGACTCAGCCCCCTCAATGTCTGCAATAATGTTGCTCCGCATGTTTTATGAGTTTCTTGTTGCGAGCACCATCTTCTTTGCTGTGGTGCTGGGGTGCAGGCAACAGACTCAATGAAGTCATCACAAAGTCTGGTGTCGGCTCTAAGCTTGTCACCCTGCAGGGGGTGGCCGAGGTTTCCAACAAGCGACAGACACAAAAATGAAAACAAAACAGATCTAAATATAAAAGGGGTTGATGTAAACATGATCTCTGCAGTAATAAACTCTGCAGCCTCTAGAGGCGCTGACAGGACATTCATTTAGGGAGCGACTGTGAATATACATAAGTATTTTAACGTTTATGACCCCATGACCAATAAGATATTCAGAGGAGGAACGGAAGTCGCTCTTATTTTGAAAATTCTCTCTCTCTTCCTCTTCCTGCATGAAGGGGTGTTGATTAATCAACCAATCATATGATCAATAATTGGTATCTCACCTGTTTGGTCATGGAGTCGATGAGTCGGACGTAGAGGTCCTGCTCAGTTCTCACACCTGAACACACACACACACACACACACACACACACACACACACACACACACACACACACACACAGTGTGTTAGAGAACAGTTTGAGAGTTGTGTGGTGCTGTGGTAAGATGAGCGTACCCACCATTACTGTAGAGCAGCTGCAGTTTATAATGAATCCCGTTGTTTGTTTTCTCTCCTGTCGGCTCCTGAAAAACAAACCAATCAGATCTCTCTCTGGAAGGGTGCGTTTGTTTCTAACTCCTCCACTGTTCTTTCATGAATGAGCTCTGGGTGTGTTTGTTTTCTATCTCCGGCAGAAATGAGATGCAGCTGTTTTCTATTCCTTCATCTACCTGATTCATGGGTTAAGAGAACGCCAACCACCTTAGCCTGGGTCAGTCATTTTCTAGAGTGTACAACCTGCAGGTGTGTTTCATTTCAATCTCAGTTTGGTTGTGGTTGACTGAGGGGTGTGTTTGGTTCGTGTCTCGGCTACTTCCTCCCTCTACACGTCTCTCACCTTCTCTTTTTCAACGAAGTCGACGTAGGCGGTGCGTTCGATCTCGACCGGCTGACCCTGACGGTCGTACAGCGCCAAAACAAAGTGGAAGAAGTTCGACTTCCTCAGGTTTGATGGAGGCTGCTTCTCAAAGTGAGCACGAGCTAAACCCACCCCGCTGAGAGACAGACAGACAGACAAAGTCAGAGAGAGAGACAGAGGTCTTGTTTAATCTGTTCACTCTAAGACTTCCTTTTGTACATCACAGCAACAGGATTCTTTGAACGACCTCTGACCAGGAACATCATCAAACAATCAGCTTTGACTTCCGATCCCTCAGCGTCTTAATAAAACTAATTTAAACATATAACATATCTGGATGAGGAGCCAGTTTTTCTTCATGATGAAGAGTTCCAAGTTTTCTTCATTCATTGACTCAGAGTTTGAAATAAATGTTCATTGAATAGCTTTAAATATGAATTAGAATTTTTTATTAAATTATTTTGTCAATGATAACATGATAATGTCATGTGACCTTGAGCATAAATCAAACGCTCCTCAGTGATGAAGGTTCAACTGATGTCATCGAACATGCTATCGACCAATCTGAGCATCATTAACAATAATCAGCTGTGAATCCTCTGCTCGGGTGGAGTTAAGCTACGGGTGTGTTTAGTTTTATTTTCTCTGATCATTTGTTACAGGCGGTGTCTCAAACGAAAACATCCTGAAAATGTACTGCATTTTAAATGCACTGAGACTTTATTTAGAAAAATCTGATTCTAGAAGATGGAGAATGAAAGCGTGTGATCATACATGTAATCATGCGTGTAATCATACATATAATCATACATGTGATCATACATGTAATCATGCATGTGATCAGGAATCTTATTGGGTCGGTTTGAACAGGAAACTTCATCAATCTGCAAAAATAAAATATTTTTAAAAATATGCAACACAATGCTTCAGGCTTTTACCTTTCAAAAATAAAATCAATTCTGATTTGATAAATATTAAGTTACATATCAAACTGACACTTTGAAAAAAAACACGGATTCTTCTTCAGACAAAAATGAGTG